AAACTCCAGAATTCCATCTACAAGACACTGTCCTTGTCTCCTTTAGCATTTCAAGGGCAGCATGAACCAAACGACACATCTACGTTGGAACAACTCAATATACAAAGCCATAAAGCATTTCATTTTCTCACTGTGAGAGTTATTTCTGTTAATAAAATATCGCTGACATGTGTCCCTTTGGTCTTGTAGAATGTGGCATGCTTCCCACACCCCACCCATTCCACACAATACTGACGCATAGTCTGACCTTCATGAATATTCACTCAAAATATTTTTTGAGTGGTGGTGGGAGAAGGGGCTCTGAAAACAAAAAAACATCAACCCTTATGCCCTCTAAACCCACAGCGAGAGCTTGTTTTTGCTTACGCCTTGCAGTTCTCCTGCAACATAATGCACGCTGATGTTTTGTTTCCCAAACAATGCATTCACCATGGAAGAGGATGCATGTCCCCAAGGATGTCCAACATTTACAAAGAGTGGTACATTTTATTGAATATTTTTTTCAATGTCTAAAATGTAAAACGGCAAATTCACACTTCAATATGAAGGAAACAGAAACGCTTTTATATGAAAAAAATCATGATGCTGATGTTCTGGACTGGCTCAACAAAATGTAAAACGTAATCAACTGAGCACTGGGGTGGAGTTGATATCTCTGTTGGTGGTTCAAAACTGGCAGTAAACATTCTACATTCGCTGGTGTGGACAAGTCTATTTGACGACCATTCTTAGCTGCTCAAAAGTGGTACTTTTGATTATGATTGTAAGGCAAGTACTGAAGCCACAGTGCTGCCTGGTCACATTGCTGACCAACAATATCCTTCCAAATTCCAAGATGAAAAATCTACAAGTGTTCTTTACTACAATTGCATATTGCACAACATTTATTATATTAATTACGAGTGCAATTGCCCTTTGTACGCAGCCTTATTCACATTCTTACTCAATTGTCGAAGTTGGTTTAGATTTTTATTAATTTAATGTTGTTAAACTCTTGTGCACTTCAATTTTCTAGATGCAACTCAGATCACCCTTGCATAAGAGGCAATGTTTCATGCGTCTCAATACGTTAATTTCATCTCCTGGTTAAAAGAATACTGACCGATACCAAAATCCTTCATAACACATTATGGTTTAAGTGTTAATGAACAACTGCTTCCATTTGCAAAGCATGGAAAGTTTTAGGTGGATGAAACAACTAATTCGGTACGCAAGGGCAATCCATTACACAAATGGAAATTACCAAGCATCGTACAAGAGAAGGCTCATGAAATAGCTAATGATGGTAACCAGGTCACGCTATTAAAATACAGGGCATGCAAGCACCTAATGAGCTATTAAGACAGAAGCATTACAGAAAAAAGACCGGCTGCAGGATTGTGTTGCAAAGCTATCCATTTGCATACACATGTGATTGTCCCCAACTGACAGGTAAAGAGTCGATCCATTTTTAACCCCCCGAGAGCTTCCATCACACTATGTCGAACGCTCATCAATGTCCAAGCTCAAGGTGCATGACCTTTTCCAAATGCAGCTTGCTGTACCGTGTACTATCCTTGTTTTTAGGCGAGGCGTGGTAGTTTTCTGCCAAAATCCTTGTCATTTAACCCCTCCACTACCCAACTAGACCGTTACATTTACATAGATGGTATTAATGTGCCAAAGTATTGATCAAGTTCTCAGCAATACATCTTCTCACCAGTCGCTTACCAACGTCATTCCCATTTTTTATGAATTGGGCTTGGCTACTTAATGCACAATTATTTCTAAAGAAACACATTTCAACAGCAATTGCATCCGAGCTGGAGGGTGTTGTTGACCACCATGCTAATAACCTGTCTTGCAGGTTAAGCCTACCCTAGCCGTCCACTTGTCAGTCTGCTCCTCCACTGAACAAGCCGAGCAATTTGAAAAGCGATTTGCCGATTACAAATGAAGTATTGGGATTATTGAACACAGAAAAAGAAAGCGGCAACAGTAATTGCTTTGAGAACCTGGGTAAGAATTAATGCAGTCATCCATGGCTAAAATGGGTTCTTCTCAAGTGCGGCGAGTTGATGGATCTCAGCCTGGTTACCAATAAATGCACCATAAAAGAAAATAATGTATTTTGTTAAACTCTGGCTATGACAAATTCAGTATAATTGACATTCAGCAGACAATCATTTCAAGGGCATATACCAGCTGTGTGCCCCTCCTGTAGAAATATGTCTATGGAGTGAATTCAGAAATAATTCTGTGATTTAATCGACCAGATGCATGCTCTGCACCGATAGCTGACAGTGTTCTCAGGAGTTGTATTAATTTTGCAATCGGACAGCAACAGCACAACTGGAATATAATTCGGGGGGGGGGGGGGGGGAGTAAAACCTATAAGTACAGTATTCCACATTGGGCATCATAATAATTGTCAAGGGCCATGATGCCCCAGATAGATAGTGTAATGTTGATGTATTCAATATTTGCTCTCGAGCAATATAATAAACTAGCTGCACCCGCCGCAACATATGCCGACCTATCACAGCTCACGTGTTGCAGCAGCTATTTCTGTTCTCCTGCTGTTTGTCTCGTCTGATGACGGTTGCTTGTGTTGCGATCAAAACGTCGTGATCTATTAGTTTTCTATCTATGTGACTTTACCGAAAGAACCAAAGAGTATGGATTCCTGCAGTCAGGAAAGCTTCAAATCAAGATAGCTGTACTTATAAATGGGTCTATTGCATTTTTGTTATATTTCTCAAAAAGGTATTGTACTAAGTTGCTACCAAAAAACTATTTTGAATCCGTGACGCATCAGACGAGGATTCATACTTTTATGCAGATTTAAAGGTTGCTGGACCCAGTTGTATAGTGGAAAGTGAGACCTCCTTTACCAGTGGCAAAATATAGTAATAGGTTTTTACCCTTTCAACTGGTACAAAAACTGACACCTTTATACAAGGGATCATGTTTGCAATAACCACAACACAAGCAGTCAAAAATTTTGTTGCAAACATGATCCCTTGTATAAAGGTGTCAGTTTTTGTACCATTTGAAAGGGTAAAAACCTATTACTGTACTATATTCTGTCACTGGTAAAGGAGGTCTCAGTGTAAATGCTTACCCCGAGCTCTCAATACTCTGACAGTGCGCTGTCTTTGAGTTGTACGCATTTTGGCGTCATCTGGTCCAACACCAATGGAGACTAGGCTCTAAGAAAGGCTGTTCCGGGTGTGGACCACTCAACTTCAAGGACAGTACATATCATTATCATAATCAGTTGTTTCTTTTTGTTTGCATTTTGACTGGTTGTGTTGTGGTTATAGCAAACATGATCCCTTGTATAAAGGTGTCAGTTATTGTACCAGTTGCTATATTTTTCCACTGGTAAAGGAGGTCTCAGTGGATGGCAAATGTGTCCGAGTACAGAAGGTACAAGACCTGCTTTCAAATTAGCTGTAATAATAAGGTAATCCTCTACAACCATTCATTTGTTTAGTGCACTGTTATGTCATGAAGGCGTTTCCCTCTTTATTCAAGAAAGGAATGCCGATCATCTCGATTTAAACAACCAACTGTTAGGTTTTTGAAAGTGATACTAATTAAAAAAAAAGAATGAATAGATATCCAATCAGTATATACACTACCAACCTTCAAATTGTATGTTGAGCACTCTAAAAACAGTCATACTGCCCTAGACTTCATGCAGACATGTGAAACCTGGTTGTGTGATAACATGAAAGTGATTAAAAAAAAATTACTCATCTTGCTATCCCACCTATTTATGAAAGTCACCCGTTAAGGAAGCAACTCCATGTGTGGGATGTTCTCAACTCCCTAACCCACCAGCAAAAGATAACACGAAACAAACTGCTTTATTTTACATTGTCGTTAATGTAAATTTCATCACAAACCACGGGAGCATAAAAAAGGGGCCAACACCAAAGAGAAATAATAACAAAACACGATCAATGGTAGTGACCCAAACACATCGTGAACGAGGCGAGGTGACAGTAATATCCCAAACTCCTGACAGCGGCTAAAATCCAGAGAACAACAATAACAACAGTTCCATCCCACATTGTATCAACCATACAAACATCACCCCAAAAAGCACAAAAGCTCTATTAGCCGTAGGCAGCAGCACACAAGATTTTTTTTTCCGTGTGATTTGGAAACTGAAAGGAAGCAGTATTCACAATTACTTTATATCTTTTGCCAATGATCAATTGCTGCTTAAGACAATGAACTAGTCATGAGTAAAACCAATACTTGGAAAATGTCCATATAACGAAAGCCTATACAGAGACTGTATAAGTTTCACAAACAGGTTGAGTTATGCATAATTTATATATGTTTTCACATAAAACCGGATGACTCAAGCAAGATACTGCTGACCTCTGCACAAAAAACCAGCAATCACTGGTTTTGACTGCAACAAGGTAGCATTGCCAAAGGATGCACGTGGACCATGGTGAAGGACGACTCAAATCAAAGCTGTGCGCTATGTAAACAGCAGCTTCGTGTTTCATACTTTGGAAATGGTGTGTAACAGCAGGTATAACTTCCTGCAACAATAAATTGTTAACTCGTACATGATTAGTATGTTTCAGTTAAATTTGCAGGTGTTTTAAAGCTGTTGGTTATTAAGCCATTGCTTTACACTTGCTTTACTTCATTTGTCAGTTTCTATCTAGGCTCATGTGTAATTAATCACGGGGAGATTGGGTCATGTTAATCAAGAACCGCAGAAAAAATATTACATGCATAGACAGTATTTCTTTGCAATTGCCTGTCTACATATTGACAAGCCAAGGGCTTAAAGCCGTTTCATGGTCTCTGTACCTAAATGGTACAATAATAAAAAAAATTCGTTTAAAAATAGTTTACAGAAATCATCACTTAAGTGCAGCCACTGATTTCAGAGCACTTAGCGCAATAAATCAAACATTTATAGTTAAGCACGCACACATTAACATCTGGTCTCTGAAGCAAGCATACAGGGACTGACCCACACTTACCGTAGGCCATCTGTCGGATGGATATGGGGGCCATGCTCTCTTCACCAAGAGATGCTAGCCCTTCATTAGCCTTCCTGCAACACAAAATACAAATTTTAAAATGATAAAACATGCATATCTAAATAATTATACATCCTCTAGCTGACATCATAAATCAGTTAGAATTGTCTCCATACCACAATATTTAGTTTGTTGTAGTTCCCCCGCACCTCCAATTAGCAGTTAGCTACGTACGGTGTGAAAAAAGTTCAACATCGTGTTGACATCCCATAAAGTGGCACCCACTGCATTGGGTCCAGACAGTTCATGGGCTCAGCTGACCCCCCAACGAGAATTTGAATTTGCAACCCTCCAAATACGAGTGAAGACCTCTTCCAACAGTGCTACTCGATTCGCTAATAATAAAAAAATACATGCGAGTAACTGAGCAAGCAAAATATGTCAGCATACTAAGGCGAGAGGCCTCGAAATACAATTGCTGGCATGCTAACAACAGCATGCCACAAGACTGGATAATGTATGTACGTATGTTGAACTTCTTCCACACTGTATGTAGCCAACCATGCGAATCGGAGGTGCGGAAAAAACTATCAAAAATGTTCATTACATTCTAATACCATGTCAACACACTTTATGGGAAACGTTTATGAAATGTACCGTAAAAATAAGAAACAGTAAAGTTATGGTGTAGTGCTCATCTCCATTGGCAGCACTGAGAAAGAGGTGTTAATTCCACGTTACTCTCTGCACAGGACAACTGTTGTTGATTTCCCAGTGTTTTTTTTATTGTATAATATCCCTTTATCCCACAGGGATAAGTATAGGCTGAGTCAACCAGAAAATCGATTTTTAGCTTATGAGCCAATTAGTATAGTCACTGTTCCACCCACACAAATATAAATAATTAACTAGGTCATTTTTATTGTGTAAAAGACGTGCAATGCTTCTTTTGGGTCAGCAAGGAGGAAAAACATCATTAACTGCGAACAAAAACCAGTAAAAATCAACACGTAACTAAATCAAATATAAACATGAAATGCACACATTCTTGAATGATAAGCATGACATTTACAATGGTTTTACCTTGTGCCACAACATTCATGATTATTTTGGAAGACATCATTTGCAATAATTATATTTCAGTTTATCGCATTATCCATAAGTGCATGCAAAAACATGATTTCATACTGTACGGGCTTACAAACGTTTAGCAACCCTAAATGTCAAGCATGGTGTATGGTCAACCAAGTCTCATGACCAACAAGCAAACAGCCAACAAAGGACTGTATATATCCTGTATGTAATTGGCAGTATGTATGTATAACTTCTTTCGCACAGTACAGTAATTGGTAGTCATGTGATAGATCACATTCATACATGCCATGTGGCTTGATTGTTCTCATATTTCAGTCGGTTCGATCGATAATAAAACTGAACTGCATCCCATCATCCTTTTGGAAATAATTAGCGATTTCGTAATAAGTACTTAAAACATTTGATAATTGATCAAGAATCCTAATTGCAACAACCGCATTATCGATATTCTATTCCAACATGCCTTTCTGTACAATTATTTCCTTTCCTAATTCCAGTTCCACAATAAACCATGGTAATTCCTCTTCCCGGCGTGTTTCTCCAATCATGCTTTACATGTGCTACTCTTCCAAGCAAAAGACACTTTTTACACTTTAAAACGATTCTGTCTGTGTTACAGAGTACCACTGTAGTGATTACATCACTTGATAAGACATGGGAGGGGGGGGTGTTTCTACTGATGCCGAAAATGATTACGGCTTACAGGACACGCTCTATTCATCAAAGTAAAATATTATCCATCTGCCAAAGGGAAGGAAAGATAAAACTAATGTTTGACTTCAATGCTTTTATTTCCATATCAACTGCACACTGAGAAGGCAGGGCATGCAGTGCTCAGATTACCAGTTAAATGCATTTACGGCCTGCGACTTGTACTGTGTAAGCACAATTTACTGCAATGGTATGTGAGCACATTATGTTACACCACGTGGATATTATGATATTTTATATGGTCTACCAATTTGTATTGGACTAATCTCTACATGTAGTAGCAGCAAAACTGAAAATCAAACCAAATTTTCAGCTGTTTAAAATTATGTCTATTACTCCCTTCCATACATTTCATGAGTCAATAGCCAGACAGGCGAGTGATTCGTGTTTAGAGTGCATGACTCACAATTTTAAGTTTGGGGGTTGACTTAGCCCATCCTACCTCTGGAGTTGTAAAATGAGGTTAACATTGTGGTACAAGTGATTGTCCAGTGTCGTGAACAACCCCCAGTGTAGAAACATGAAATCTCCTCCATCAGCTCAAGGCTGTAAAGGAACTAGAGTAAGACTTTAGAAATCGCAAAAGGGGCAATCAATGAGGTGAGACAAAAACAAACTCGTTAACTAAAGAAAGTACACTTTATAGCGTCCCACCATTTGCAACCAAAACACAATGTCTGCCATTCCTCTTAAAACACGATGCTCCAGAATGCTCTGATTGTGCAACCAGACAAGACGGAGCCACATTAACTGCTGGTTCTCCGTGCATAGCTTTACACCGCAAGGATCAGTTGCAATCAGCAAACCTATTTAGCTTTGCCAATCGGTTAAGTGTGAGAAATACGATGCTGTGAATACTTGGCCCCTGCTGCTACACACCTGTGTGGACAATTATTGATTCAAACAGTCTTCAGAAGCAGTCAGAAGCAACCAATGCTTTTCTCAAAATGCAGATAAATTAACTGCTGTGGGAGTAAAATAAAAACTCAGCACGCCTAGTCATAATGTTTTCTGCACAAATGAGTTTATGTGGCAACTTGTGAGACTAATGCACTATACTGTATTCACAAATTTTACAAATCATTTCAGTCTTGCATTGTACTGTTACAGCCGAATAAATTTTAACAATGAAGATCAATACTCTTTGGTTCTTTCTGTAAAGTATTTTCTACCTACGTCACTTTACCGAAAGAACCAAAGAGTATGGATTCCCGCAGTCACGAAAGCTTCAAATCAAGTATGAAGATCAATTAATGTTTCATGTTGCTTTATAGCAATTTGTTGATGGGCGCCAGGGTACATTTGTTGGCAGGGGTAGAGGTGTTTACAACGAGGATCAAAACAAAATTCAACAGGTGGCAGTTAAGTACTTTATCGCATTTAATATTTCACGCTCACATACTTGAAGTCTCCCAGAACTTAGACAAATATGGTGACACTGCAGGAATTTGCATACTGCCATTCACAATCGCCCCTCCAACATCACAATATAAATGGTCGTTATTTCAAGACATCTTGCCACATGCTGGTGGCATTGAACAAAGGACTGTTATCAACATTCTTATGGCTAACACCACCCAATTGAAGGCCGTCAATTAGGCTTGGAAGTGATGCTTAATGACAGCACAACCAAGTTCGAGCAATAACATGGCCTCGTGGTAGCTCGTTTGCCACTTGTCGCAGAGGTTCACAATTCGAATCCAGTGGCCGCCACGAATAATACTGCAGGTGTATTGACCATAAAAATAAAACATTCTGTGACATTGCTCGTAATAGTAGGCCAATATATGTTTGTTATAATTCTAATTACTAATTTGTAACAAACATAGCAATCATCACCTACAACTGTGAAATCTAGGCAGGACCATTCTGAAAAGGCTTTCCTGCGTAAGCAAGCATAATAATTACTTTTTGGTTCTTTCGGTAAAGTTGCGTAGAAAGGAAATAAATTAAATAATAAAACTACAATTAGTTCTACCTAATGACGACTGCTTGTGTTGCAATCGCAACGTCGTATTCTATTATTTAATTTATTTTATTTCTACGTGACTTTACCAAAAGAACCAAAGAGTAATTCATGCAGTCACGAAAAGCTTCAAATCATCACAATAATGTTTCTGTGACTCACTTCAGCAGACGGAAGTACCCGTAGCGGAAAGTTTCCTGCATGGCGATGGAAAAAAGGACGCCCATAATCAGCAGGCCTCGCTGTAGCCCCTCATTGGTCTTGTCACTGAGCTGGTAAGCGATGAACCACAGCAGGGAGGACATCAGGAGCGACACCAACCAAAAAAACGCCCTGCAAAGTGGACAGGCCACGTTCAACAAACACACGCAGTCACAATTATTGTGATATAATTCATGATTTTAAATTGTCCGACCAGTGTTGTCTCTAGTGTGGACCAATCAGTTTCAAAGACAATGCATAAATTATCAGAGTATTGTTTTTTTTTGCATTTGACTGCAAGTACTGTGGTTAATGTAAGCATGATTCCTTGCAAAAGGTGTCAGTTTTGTTGCCAGAAAAAAGGGGAAAAACCCTATTAGTAGATTCCGCTGTAGTTTATTACCAGTTCCTGACTTTTCAAATTGAGTTCAATTCCCATTAAAGGTGGATATCTGAACCGATCTTGAGTCCCCTCCCTCACCCAAATGCCCCATCACCAACCCACATTGACAAGCATGGTTAACATTGGTCAAAAACATCACAAACAGCATAACTGTGGATTGAAAATGGTAATTTTTATTCTCTATCGGCTACATACTTCCACATTTATATCAACATTCATGGAATTTATATAGCACATCTGGTTAATGGGGAAGAATAGGCTATGAACTTGGTTTCCTGAGTTCGACTTCCATTAAATGGGAAATTATATCTGAATGGTTCACCCCCACCCCTATCACCAACCCACACTGACCAATTGCTAAACTTCCATGATCAACACAGCATGGAGAGGCTTTCATCATGCAGCAGATTCATGAGCTGAACATTGTTATTGTCAAGCACATTCTTCAGAGCGAACAATTGTATTACAAGTTTCCAAACACAGCAGTTATAACATCCCATTGCTGTTCAGATTTTTCACTTATATCATTTATTGGGGCTGTTTCATTCCTAATATTTATCTTACCCCACGTGATATAAGCCGAGTCAAGAATAAATAGTTTCCAAACGTAAACGGTAATAAGTGGGTTTTGCCAGTGTTACTTTGTCCAAGTTAATATTTAACTAGGCCGAGTACCCGTACATGTTTTATGACATGACAGGTTACAATTCATGGAACAAATCAATAAGCAGTTGCCATACTGTCTCAACAAGGTTGCTCTCCACAAAGGTCCAGAAACAGACAACACTGTCGACCAGCTGTTGAATACAAGTGGTCTTCAACACTTGCATAATTTGCCAAACATATGCAGACCACGTATCGAATTACGTGTCGAATTAGTTACACCGTAGCACTGTGATTATAATGTGTGTATGCATACACTATAAACAGGCGACTAGCAGGGCTGACAAGTGCTTGATTTGAAATCAGAAAGTAACAAGACAAAATCCCAGTCGGTGATCAACATTTCGCATAATTCCTCTGAGATTGATTAAATAATTTTAAAAATGTGGGCAGCTATCAGTGGTCGACTTATGGAGAACCTCGCATGGAAGGAAACACTTTTCCACCATAAATATGGTTCATATCCAGTCAGACTGAGACCTTGGGCGAACGATATACCGCACACTGACAACAGCTGATTTACTCGTACCACATGCACAGCGTTTGGATCAGCTCACTTCGTCCCCTTCTCATTGCCCATGCATAGTAAGGCATGGACCAGAAATCACACACATTGACAAGAAGATGCAAGTGTCATTAAGCATGATATAGCAACATGCAGCAGCTGCCAAATACCCAAGGCAATTCTCCGCTCACCGAGGGCGCTAAGCCCAAGCGGACACACGTTTCAATGTGCAACCCCGGGGACAACGTTATGGTAAGGGGGGCAATAATGAAATCCATTTGAAAGTCACAAATTACAAACGTGTTTATTTGCACTGGTGGTGGTGTTTGGTGTGGTATTTGTTATGATAGTGACTAGTTTTAGTGATTATGTTTGTGGTGCCGTGCGAAACACGTGGGCGATGTGCTTCTGTAATTTATAATTGATCGCAGACGTTTGCTGTTGGTGGTGTTAGCCGAGAATGCTCGCAATGCTTATGGTAGTTTACATTTAAACACGATAGACTAAATTCGCGGCACATGTCCCACACGTATCGTGCACGACACGGGTCCCCTCGTATCCCACACGTCCCGTCTCTCACACATCACACGTGTGAGCTCTAGTGCCCCGCGTCTCGCACACACACACACACGTGTCCAACAAGTCTCGCCACCCGTGCCCCGCGTCTCGCACACACACACACACACGTGTCCCGTGTCCAACACGTCTCGCACACACACACACGTGTCCCGTGTCCAACACGTCTCGCACACACACACACGTGTCCCGTGTCCAACACGTCTCGCCACCCGTGCCCCGCGGCTCGCACACACACACACACGTGTCCCGTGTCCAACACGTCTCGCACACACACACACACACGTGTCCCGTGTCCAACACGTCTCGCACACACACACACACACGTGTCCCGTGTCCAACACGTCTCGCACACACACACACACACGTGTCCCGTGTCCAACACGTCTCGCACACACACACACACACACGTGTCCCGTGTCCAACACGTCTCGCACACACACACACACGTGTCCCGTGTCCACACGTCTCGCACACACACACCGTGTCCCGTGTCCAACACGTCTCGCCACCCGTGCCCCGCGGCTCGCACACACACACACGTGTCCAACACGTCTCGCACACACACACACACGTGTCCCGTGTCCAACACGTCTCGCACACACACACACACACGTGTCCCGTGTCCAACACGTCTCGCACACACACACACACGTGTCCCGTGTCCAACACGTCTCACACACACACACACGTGTCCCGTGTCCAACACGTCTCGCCACCCGTGCCCCGCGTCTCACGTATCGCCCATGTGCCTCGTGTATCCCCCACCCGCCCACCACCCCCATCACACTTGTGCGTCGCCAAGTCCCACGAGCCGCGCTCACCCTGCGATGAGGACGATGACTCGGAGCGGGTCTCTGGCTATCGTGAACACGAAGAGCGCGAACGCCGGCCCGAACGCGATGAAGGTGCACCCGAAGAACACAGTCGCCGTCATGACGAGCAAAGCGGCGGTGGTGGGGACGACGACGACGACGAAGACGAAGAGGGGGGAAGAGAGAGACGGAGGCGAAAGTTGTAGGGAGTGGCAGCGGCCACGACTTCGCCTGCCGGCCCACGAGTCGCTAATCCCCGCGGGGAATCTAGGCAACGCCTAAAGCTCCACTAGGCCGCGGGAAGACCCACACGCTCGCTTCCAGCAGCTCATAGTAGTCAACCTCAAACAACAAAAACATGAATCTAAGTAAGGACACGCGACGCTTCCCGCGGGAGCTATGGACCCGACGCTCGCAGTGTTAGAGTTTCATAATTATTATTTTTATTTTTTTATAAATTTATCGGCAAATCGCTCCCCACCCCAACCTCGACTGACTCCGCACCGCCAACCGGTCGCAGAGCGGGGCCGACATTGCCGCTGTATTCCCCAGCGCGGATAGGCGATCGCCGGCCTCTGATTGGTCGAGGCTGAGCGAGCGGACCAATCGCACGCGTCGCAGTCGGCCGCTGCCGCTAATGCGCGATAGGGAATGTAACGAGCGGTCGAGTGGGGGGGGGTCCTCTCCACACCCCACATTCGGATTAACCAACGAGGGCGGGTATCGATCCATCGATTCCGCGTCGATTCCTCCGCTGTATATATCAGTCCACGCGACGAATCCTGTTTGGACGAATCGATTAATTACGATTAATTACGTTCAGGCGTGTCTCGCTTAACGAGCCGAGATGCGTTCCGCGAAAATTGCTCGGTAAGCGAAAACTCTTTAAACGATCATCGTTTTCCTATTGACTCACTCTCCGTTTCAGTCCCAATATTTTCCACTCTTACCCAACTTTTTTTTACGTGAGAAATACAAATTGTATTTGTAACGTAAAATAAGGCAACATCAAATATAACACCCCACATAAAGAAGCACATTGATTGCCTGTACTCAGCGTCTGCAATTAATTAGTGCCTCCCATCACCCATCCCTCCCCCATTGCCCGAAACGTCGGATATTATAATGTATATACTGTATTTGTTTCCATGTTAGGCAGTGTTATTGATGAATGTGTTGCGCTTCATGAATTGAACAGGGACATTGGAATCGCAATGAGGGGTGTGATTGATTAGCATTGATTGCATAGCCATTGGAGAGGGTGATCCGATTAGAGATATTGTAACCCATTAAACGCATTGCGATCAATTATAGAGAAAACATTTAATTAAAGCCTCTACATGTCTCGCACCAATTAGCAATAGACCATTGCTTTCACAATATTCAATCACCCAGAATTTGCTGTTGAAAAGAAAGCAGGAGGGTCATTATAGATCAATGGGGTATGAATAGAAAAAGTAAAAAATGAAAATCCCTAATAAAACTGACGATTCATGGCCAATCTTACCATGTTTACAATGGGCTAGAAGCATGCATATTTACACATGGGTGTGTTTCTTTGGGAGGTGACTGATGACTTTGGAGTACCAACCTTTCTTGGGATAAAAATGTAGGATAACATGTTCTCAAGTTTATTACATTGTTAAACAAACGCCATAATGTCTTTATGCTCAAATTAGCATTGGGTGTTCATCAAGATTGAGGGTTATCAGCTAGTTGTGGTAATTCCACATTCTAATAGAGGAAAACCAGCATCTTACCGAAAATGGTCAAAAATGTATCAACCCCAGAAGGACGAGTGGCTGAGTCAACCCTGGACCAGCATTCAAACTTTACTATTACTATTTCTAAATCACTATTTTTTATTTAGTGATTAAATTTAGTTATTTTCATTTTAATTATTTTCACCTACGTGACTTTACCGAAAGAACCAAAGAGCAATTCCATGAGCGTTAAGCAAAATGCAATTATGGAGCAGGCAGAAAAATAATATTCCAAAATCACTTAAAATTGTAAAAAAGTTGAGTGCAGTATAAATTTAAAATATACAGGCCTTTGTCAATCCACTTCTGGATAAAGACCTCTGAATGCCATGTCAGAATGTATTTTTTAATACCATACTTCATGCTGGTCAATGTGGGTTTCTGACAATGCGGTCTGGGATAGACCTCAGACTGGTTCAGATATCACTCGTCAATGATGTTAATCACGAGCAGGAAGTGAATTCGGGTTGCCGGGTTCATAGCACAGTATGATAACCTGTGCCACCACTCAACCCCGCAGCATAAAAAAGATATAATATAAAGGCATATTAACATAATAATTCAAATAAAACATACATGTCAGGGAGACAATGTGACTAGTTTAATTTATTTGTCTAATTGAGAGAAAATATCCTGAATATCATTAAAAAAACATTAAATTTGTAACTTGCCAATTTGTGTTTTTGTCATTCTTTGTTAATTTGCTATTTTTTGTAGAATCCTCAAATACATTTTGACAGCCACCCACAGTGTTAATTCTATAACACAGCAACACATGGGAGGCACCAAAGTGTGCACCGCTTAATATAGAGACACCGATATCCACACCGTCAATGTAAAACTCCATGAGTGGGAGACCACGAGCAGACCTTGGAGATTGGGTGTCGTCAACTGTGCAAGTCCTGCGAGATCTGACTTCGAGAAGGACGCGATGGTGAGGTGTGGTGCAATCAACAGCACTGGATGTGATGACCTCTTTAACATTATAATGTATCATGTTGTTTAGCCAGGATTTCATATGAACTTTGATTTCCTGTTTGAGATGAACTCGAATGTCTCCCGAGCCATTTGGAGAAGCTGCCTCTGAATGGGGACCATATCGGAGGCCAAATGCAGGGAAAATGGCCCTCAGATCACCGACTCAATTGCCAACACGAGTACCCATGCAAATGTGACAAATCGCATCGTTCTACTTCCCACTGCTGGGTAAAGGCATCCCCCATTTTAAATCCTTTATATTAAGTTGACTTGCTTGCGCGCTTACGACCGTGCAAATCTTTCGGTCGTTTTTAACCCACTTCCCGTGATCCAATCGAGCTGACATTTTGCACACAGACTCGTTGTGCGTGACAATTTATTTCTGTGAAATTTTTTTCCAAAATGTTACACTTTTTAGGAAAAAATAAATTATATTTAATTACCAATTGCTTAATGGTGGCAGGCAATCATCTGACCCATAGGTGGCAGCCATCTCAAGCCAGAGGACGAGAGGACTCTAGCCGCCACGCATATAAAGCATTTATAGTGAAAAACTTTGTTTTTACGGGTTAATTTTTTTCCATTCCTTTCCTTAGTTTCAGTACAGTAGTGGCCTCCAAACGGTTTGCTTTAATCTCGCGATCTTTCACGCTATCTTCTGCCTTCTCTCGGTATCCAGCCTCAAGTACATTTTACCCATGTATCAACAGTTGTTCCGATGGCATAAGATAGCCCATTTCAATTTAAAGCTTTCGTGACTACAGTGATTCATCTTCTTGGTTCTTTCGGTAAAGTCACGTAGAAGGGAAATAATAAAAATAAAACATACGCTGCATCTGCCCGACAGACTTGGTCTTCACCTGAGGACGGCTGCTTGCGTTGTGGCCGAAACGTCGTGAGAATTATTTTATTATGTTTTATTTTTATTATTTTATTATTTCCCTTCTCCGTGACTTTACCGAAAGAACCAAGAAGAAGATAGCTCATGTTCACCTGATTTATTTTGCACAAGTGACACGCCTACATGTCGAACCAGGCAGAGCTACACGATAGGTGGATGAAACAGGGACTTGTTCGCATAAGCTGGCCCTGGACTGGTGTCTTAGCAGCATCCACCGGTCTGGGTGAGATCTGATACAAGGGCAGAGAGTCCTCGGGGGAAGCTTCAATAATAGCCACAATGTAAGCATTCAAAAGTAAACATTACCTATTTGCCTTAGCTCAAAAAACGTTGTGCTAGTGCTCATGTAGATTTGAAGCTTTCGTGACTGCAAGGATTCATACTGTTAGGTTTTTTTCGGTAAAGTCACGTAGGTAAAAAAATAAAATTAAAAGTTAATCAAAGTAAAAATGGAAATAAAATAAAACAATAAATCACGACGTTTCAGAGGCAACACAAGTCTCCGTCATCAGGTGGGACCGTCACACCTAAAATTTGAACCTAACAGTATAGTGCTCATGTGTTTTTCAAACCCGAAGCCAGTGGTGGAAATTGCACCATGGCCTACCTTTGTGAAGGACTTTCAGGGATGTTTAATGTCTGCTGTGGAGCAGGCGATTATTTTTTATAGTGAACCATAATAATAACCAGGGTTGCCACTGGATTCGAACCGTGAACCTCTGCAAAATCAGCAAACGCACTCCGGCTGGGCCAAATCACAATCAGTATTTATTATCCCTCAATTACGTAATATTTACATCTATAACAATTTGGCACCACTAAAGTTACGTGGACTAGCCTGTTCACATACATTTTAAAATGTACTCCTGTCCCCATTGTAACACTGCATGCAAAGTGCTAAACAATTACAAATGATGATTATGTATCTGAAGATTAGGATAAAGCCAGAACACTCTGGTATGTACTGTATGTATTTTTCGATTTAAAGCTTTCGTGACTACAGGGATTCATATTCTTGGTTCTTTCGGTAAAGTCACGTAGAAGGGAAATAATAAAATAATTAAAAAATAACTATAAAATTCTCACGACGTTTCGATTGCAACACACAGAAAGAAAATGTTTCACACCTGATGATGATTGCTTGTGTTGCAATCGAAACGTCGTGAGGATGTTATAATGTTCTATTTTTATTATTTTATTATTTCCCTTCTACGTGACTTTACCGAAAGAACCAAGAACACTGTATGTATGTTTAACTCTTTCGCACCGCATGTAGCCAACCGTGCTAATCGGAGATGCGGGGGAAGGACAACAAACTAAACACGAAAAGCAGTTTAAGCAAGTATCATCGCCACATTTAATACACAGCCTATCCAGGTTATGTGAACAAGGTGTTGCTGTGTATATACATATTTATTTGCTGCAGTGATCATCCATCATGAAAATATACAGAGATTAACTGCCTAGGCTACCTCGAACTAGTAGGGATCTACTAAGAGTGGGGAGGAGTGAGTTAAGGTCAAGATGGCATCAAAGCCAATGCCATTGATGCCACCACACCTCGCCATTGCCTCCTTTCATTCAACTATATCACTCAAATGTTACACAATCAATATCAGACCTCCAAGCGTGGTTGGAATATTACAGTATAATCCTCATCTTCTGTTCTTAGACAACCCAAACCCATCATTGGACCGATTTGTGACCTGATGTAATAAAAGTGTGATTTGTAGTGTCAGGGTGAAAAGTTAATGTCTTTTTTTTGCCCGTGATGATTCATTTCTCTGTAAGAACGTTAATCCTGGGGAGTAGGCTTAGCTTTGTGGGTGGGGTGAAGGAAGTAAAGAATGGGTGCCAGATTAAAATGAAATACATTCAGCGTTA